CATTATCAATCAGGTTATCATAAGGCAAAGATCACTGTTCATTATTTCTGAAGAAAACAGAATTTAGTTTTGATTCAGAAATTCTTAAGTGTGTGATTATTTCTTTCTGTAATTCAAAAAGTCCAAAACTTTCATTTCCCAGGTCTATATTGGTTATTCTCAGGTATTCTGTTAATATTAAAATCTGTATCTTTAAAGTGGCTAAATAATAAAAATGTATCTTAAGGCTTATTCAGAGATATGGGATTTAATAAGGGGAGCAAATCTTTTCCCATTATTTTTGTAATAGAAACAAAAATGCCCAAATGCCATTTCCTGAGATCAGTTGCATCAGGAATTCCATAAATTGCTCTTTAATTTTCAGCAGAGGGGTTGGGTGTAATTTGCTCTAAGCAGATAAATTTATTCTGCCTTTCTTGTCAGATCACTTTTGTTGTCCCAGCTTTCGTTAACCCAACAGACTCAAAGCGTATCAGTGCAAACCACAAAGATGAAAACAGGATGTTACTACTTCTGGTGATCCTCTGTACAAAACCCTGCTCTTTGCATTTTAAACACTTAGTCCTGCTGCTTACAAAGAATTTCTGGTCTGTTTCCACTCAGGTGTGACACTGGTCTCTTGAGAGGAAGCCAAAAGACTGTGATGAAAAAAAAGAACGTTTTGGGGTCAAAGCTGTTTCTGGTCTGCTGAATCTTGCTCACTTCTAATATTTGTAACACTTGGGTACATTTAAATGAACACTTGGAGCATGAGTTGTTCCTGTACATTTTGGATATTAAAAAACTGAAATTTCTTGTATTTTGTATTTTTCCCATTGTTTTTCTTTTTTTTTTTTGAAACTTTTTTTGAATGTAACTCAAAAGTTAAAGATCAGGTTTTTTTAACCTCAACTGAATAAGAGCATGGAAGGACTTAACTGGCCTTGAGTGCAACATAATCTATGTGATCCTTGTGTATTAAATCTCTGTTTAATTCTCAGGCATCTCAATTCCTTCACCAAATTCTTTTTCATACTGACAGCTCTTGAGGACACTTACAATAGTCCAATGTACAAAGAAATCATGCGAAATAGAACTGATTGAAACCCAGATGATATTTATCTGCTTGGTGATAGACCATCTTGTAGAGCCAAAGATGACAGATTCTCTGTTTGCCTCCTTGAACAGATGAGAGATTTACTTGAGTGTTACACATTTTTTTTTTACTTCCAGTAAATCTGTGTAAATCTTGCTTTTATTTTATTATCTTTGCAGGATTCATTAATCTGAAGATTCTAAAGAGTTATAATCAGGCAGTTCTTTCAGAAATACTTTGTGAACCCCATCCCAGCATAAAGGTTAGTAGATAGGTGCATATTTTTTAGAATGTTAAAAGTCTGTAACTATGTAGGAAGTCAACATTAGAGGGCATAATAACATCAAGTTATCATTCCAGTGCAGTAGAGCTATGTGGCTATCACTTGTATTTGCCAAGTGTTTGTGTATCAAAGGGTCAGATGAAAAGTGTGAGCAAAATATCAAGAACAGGAAAACAAAATGGAATTTAATAAGCCTTAACCATCTTTACTTTCTTCAAGTATTATCAACAAAACAGTCTCACTCTAATACATTTTCGTAGTGACTTATAATGTTAGTAGGTATTTCTTGCATTATCTAATTCAGTTATAAGCTTTGCATACAGTTCTTTTCCAGATGTTTGCTATAATTTTTTTCGAGCATAAGTTACCCCTTCCCTGGCTAAAAGTCATGTTGATGCAATTTGTGAGTGGGGTTCATCTGCCTCAGAGTCTCTGTCACGATTTCATAGGAACAGAGTTGCCTGTAAGTCAAAACTGTAAGAATGGGCAAATCTTACTCAGCCCTGTGTGGCACATCTGGACAGCTGTGTCCAGTCCTGGGCTCCTCAGGACAGGAGGGACAGGGAGCTCCTGGATTGGGGCCAGCAGAGGCTGCAGAGATGATTCAGGGCCTGGAGCATCTGTGCCAGGGAAAGGCTGAGGGAGCTGGGGCTGTCCAGGCTGGAGAGGAGCCCCAGCTGAGAGGGGCCCTCAGCCCTGGGTGTCCCTGTGTGCAGGGAGGGCTCCGAGCAGGGCCCAGCAATGGCACCAGAGCCACGGGCAGGGACTGAGCCCAGGGGGCTCCACTGACAGGAGGCACAACTTCTGTCCTGTGCAGGGACTGAGCCCTGAACAGATTGTCCAGAGAGGTTGTGGAGTCTCCCCACTGGGGACATTCCAGAGCCATCTGGACACAATCCTGTGCCCTGTGCTCCAGAATGGCCCTGCTGGAGCAAGATGACCCTCTGTGGTCCCTTCCAGTCTCACCTTTTTTTTTCTGGGATTCCATGATCATCCCCAGCATATCTAAGGCAGGAAAAGGGATGCATTCAGGACAACAAAGTTAGGAGAACTGCATAGACTCAATAATATGGAGGCATAAATGGAACTCCCCAGGAACTTAGAATGCTGTGGTGCTTCTCTGTGTTGAAAATAGGCAGCAGTTGGCCAGTTTTCAGGAAAAATTTCTTCACAGGAAGGATGATTGGACATTGGCATGGGCTACACAGGAAGGTGGTGCAATCACTGTCCCTGTGAGAATGGTGAGGCTTTGGCACAGGTTGCCCAGAGAAACTGTGGCTGCCTCATCCCTGGAAGTGTCCAAGGCCAAGCCTTGGAGCACCCTGGGATAGTGGAAGGTGTCCATGCCTATGGGAGGGGAGTGGAACTGGATGGGCTTTAAGGACACTTCCAACCCTAACTATTCCATGATTCTTTGAGTATTATGGTGAACATGCTCTGTCCTCCCACACATGGACACAGAGTTTTAGTACACATCACCATCCTCACAGGAAAGAATTTCTTCATAATATGTAATCTAAACCTACTCTCTTTCAATTTTAAGCCTTTCCCCCTTGTCCTGTCACTCCATGCTCTTGTAAATAATATCTGGTAACATCTAAAAGTCCTGCAGTGATTTTAGGTAGAACCCAATTCTCAGTTCCTTTGGCTATGTTCACATGGCTGTGGAGATGTAACCATGAAACTACTGCCAGGTTTTGGGAAGGCAGGCCAGCTGTTTTGCTTGAGAGAAAGATCATTAAGTGAAACTCTTTTAAGCTCATTTTCCTGCCACGTGGATGGGTTCTAGTGCTCCCACCCATTCCACCTGCACTTCCACCTGCACAAAGCCTGTTCTAGGAAGGCTGAATCTTGCCCATAAGTCAAAGGCAGATGAGGTATATTTACCCAGAGTTGGCTGCAGTTAGGTTACCTGCAGAGGAACTGCAAATGTGAAGAGCTGCCAAAGATCCTGGGAACATTCAAACCAGCAACAGAGAAATGTAGCACTGAATAGTTTGGAAATGATCATTTTAAGAAGAATCATGGCCAGTAGGAGATGTGCTTTCCACATCTGATTTGGGTGGGGGGTTGTGTATGGAATAAAGTCTCATTTTCCTCATCCATCACCTTTGTGCCTTGTACCTTCATTAGTCCCAGTGAGGTTGCAATAATAAGTGATAATGGAGAACACATTCCCCGCTGAGCTGTGTCCCCTTTGGATCTTGTCTGAGATCAGCTCCTCCTTCCCCTTTCCTCATTTGCTTTGATTCATCTTTCTTGCCAAAGAAATTTGGAGGCAGATTTTTCCAGCTGCTCCCAAAAGAGTGGGGAAGTGTGTTATTGAAGTTGACGGGAAGCATTCTGTTCTCCACACATCACAGCCTGTTCCTAAGTGGGAACACTGCCTACCTCCCAAATTTTCATCCATATCATTCCTGAGACATGTTACCCAGCACATACTGCAGTAGCTCCTCTGTACACTGTTCATTTCTTCTGTGCAAAGGAAAAACTGGATTTTTGAGCAAATTCTGCATTTGTTAACATGTGATCTGGTTTATTACTGTCCTGATGATGACATTAGTTTGCACTCTGTAGCTGAACATGCAGGGAGGTCTTACACAGGGTGTAAAGTGAGCATTGTTGTGCAAAGAGTGAGAAAAGGCTGTGGTACCACAGCTGAAAACACAGGGATGGTATGGTGAGAGTGACACTGCAATATCACTGTCACAGAATTGTTTAGATTTGAAGCCACTCCTTGAGATCCTCTACTTTAATTCTACTTATTCTTTGTACAGTAATGTGTATGAAACAGTTCTCCTTTGAAATCTCCCTAATATTCTGAAAATTTATAATGCACATTAACAGAGTAGTATTAAAATATTTTCTACAAGTAATAGGAAAGCTCTTTTTTATAAATAGATATTTTTCTTGAACACCATTGGGGGATGATTTCTGACAAATTCCTCCTCCCTAAAGAGGAAGTGAGACAAAATAGACACTTGAAATCTACCATTTAATTAATGACAGCAATGCACATGTGCCAGGCATGGACTTTTTGGCCCATTTATTGTAGATATGTTGAGATTATTGTATTAAAATTCAGCGTATGTAGATACTGAGAAAGAGTGAGTCCTGTGAGGAGTGGCTGGGTGGAGAAAAAGAGGCCAAGCATGTTATTCAAGACAAATCTGAGCACACATCATGTGAAATGCAGACAGCAACCTGAATCCCAGGGGTTTCCAGTGCTCTCCACTGGCTGGAGGTGGGAAGAAGTGGACAGCAGCAAGGCACTGCACCAGGCATGCACCTGCATTCCTGATATGCCCAAGTGCCTGCAGCATTCCTGAAAATTGGATTTTGGCCTGTGCAGCTAAATGTAGACATCTTGCAAGAGCTAAAAGTAGATTCCAGCAGAAGGCGTCCAGCCTCCCTAAACAAAATCCCTGGGCTTTAAATGCAGCCCTTGCAAGAGGACAGAGCCATTCAAAACACCCAGAGCTGGTGTAGAGGAAAATGTAGGCACGGGGATGTGCCTGGAAGTTGCATCCTGTCTTTGCATATGTCCATGTAATCTATAGATCTGTTTTTAATTCTGTTCAAAAGCCTATGGGTAGTACTGTCCTTTTATTTTTTTTTAGTAGGAGCTATGTAATTGTGGCAGATAGGTTGAAAGGATAGGGTAGAAGGCAATCTCTCCCAATGAATTACAGCTCTACTGATCACTGAGGAGTGGGAACATCTGTGCTTGCCCAATGAGGATGGCTATTAGAAAAGAGTGGGTTAGCTGGCTACAGTTGTAGTTTGAGTTAGACCCAGAGTGTGCTGCAGGTTGGGATGGAATCTGCTGGCTGTGCTGTGAGGAGGTAAAGGATGTATGGTTGTGCAAGGGACAGACAGGGTGAGGTTTAGCCAGTCATGCAGAGAGGAGAGAAGAAGTCACAGCTGTGTGGAGCTGCCTGTAAGGGGAGGACTCAGAGTTGTCAAAAAGAAGGTATGAAAAGTTTTCTAATGAAGGACTGGTGGTGATGCCAGTCCAGTCTGTCTTGACATAATTACTGCAATGTGTAATTGCTGTTGTGAGGTTGTAAGCGAGGTGAGGTTTGGAGAGGGAGGTGATTTCTTTCATGAGCTTAATTCAGAGTGTTGGGAAGCCACAGACTTACTTCCTTTTTTATTTGGTGTTATTTAGTTGGGTTTTTTTCCTTTTTCTGGTAACAATTAGGCAGTTCACTTGCAGAGCTGAAGTTCATTCCTGTACTTATCTACTTGTTCTGATTACATTTGTCATATGCCTTTTTTATTAAATGGTTCACTGGCACTTTTATGTTAAACTGGTTTTCCTCCTGTGGGAAAAAGCTGAGGGAATTGGGATTGTTCAGCCTGGAGAGGAGAAGGCTTTGGGGTGACCTCATTGTGGCCTTCCAGTGCCTGAAGGGAGCCCACAGGAAAGATGGAGAGAGACTCTTGACAAGGGCCTGGAGTGACAGGACAAGGGGGAATGGCCTCACACTGACAGAAAACAGGGTGAGATGGGATATGAGGAAGAAATTCTTCCCTGTGAGGGTGGTGAAGCCCTGGCACAGGTTTCCTAGAGAAGCTGTGGCTGCCTCATCCCTGGCAGTGTCCAAAGCCACTGGTTGTTGGAGCAACCTGAGATAGTGGCAGGTGTCCCTGTCCATGGCAGGGGGATGGAACTGGATGGTCTTTGAGGTTCCTTCCAACCCATGCCAATCTATGATGCCACGATTAAAAAAGAAAAGCTGATTTAAAGATTTCTTTAAGTTTGTTTTTTTTTATTCCAAATCCACTGTGGCTTTATTGTTTTAAGGCTGGTATTGCTCTTCTGTTTTAAAAAAGTTTTTCTTTCACTTTAGTACAATTCTTGTCTGCATTTTTTAAAAATAAGAATTGCTTTATCATTCTCATAAGAAAAGTAAAGAAAATTAAGAAATTTGTGACTAAGTATTAGATATTTCCCTATGGAGTCCGTCAGGAAT